ACTTTATGTAAAATCTCAATTAAATATTCAATAAAGATAGAGGCATGGCCTTACCATTAATATTAAAAAAAAAAAAATTTACTTTTATCAGACATATCTTGAAGTGTTTCATCTTTCATCAAAAGAGACATATTATTTGTTAATTCCAAAGAAGAAAACTCATCTGAACTTAATTTAGATTAAGGTTTATTGAAATATTTTTATTCTAAAATAAAACTAATTACTATATATTATTTGTAACTATATTAAAATATCTAGCTATTTTACCTCAGAATCTGTAAAAGAATCATAACTAAAGCTATATTTTGGGATATTCCAAATATTATCCAACTGCTCATTTGAAACAGTTTGGCTTATACTAACTTGGTTATAAGGGTGTCTTAGTGAAATATGCTGTGATAATGCATAAGGTTTTGAAAACTTTCATTTATAATGTTTATAGTAAGGGCCTGCAAATTGCCTATTTATAAGGCTTAGCCTGGTCTGCAGTTAGGATTAAAAATTTTTTTCAGGCCTGGTCTGACCCATATTTAGGGTTACCATTTTTTTGTCAGCCTGGTCTGGCCCACATATGTTAAATTTTTTCTTCAGCCTAGCCTGTTCTAACCCAGCCTGCAAAAATTTCTTATATAATTTTACAAAAATTTTAGGTCCATACTGGCCCACAATTATAAAGTTGTGCAAATTTTTTGGCCTGTTCATTCTACAATTATAAAATTTTGCTTTAGGCCCAGCTTGGCCTACAAAACTTTGCATGCCAGGCTGGGCTGCAGAACCCAATGCAGGCCTCTAGTTTACAGTACCAATGTATTTTAAATATAAGATAAAATAAATAGAAATAAAGAAAGATAGAGATAAGTAACGATAAGTAGAGAAAAGATAGAACTAGAGATAGATAGAGAATAGAAATGGAAAGAGATTGTGTGCCTAAATACTGGAATCTAAACAGAATTCTGTTTCTCAGATTTTAAATAAAATAGAAAGAAAAAAAAGATAAAAAGTGATAGAGAGATAGAGAATAATGTAGTAAGAGATTGGTTTAATGTGTACTATAGTGATACAAAAAATTAAATATGAAAACAATTTAAAGAAATTGAATAAAATCATGAAAGTAATAATAATTAGAAATTATTTTGTAGCAATATATATTAATTTCAAGCAATTTATTCTATATTAACAGCAAAACAAAATTATTTACATGATATCATTATCTGTTTAAATTAAACTTTATATTTTATTTCATATTAATATATTAATATTTTAATATTTGCCAAATCTCAGCAAGAATATGTATATATGTTAAATTTCAGTAATTGTATAATGACTAGTGATGCCTGATGAAGCTATGTGATGCTAATTGTTATATGTTATTACTTATAAAATTAGAATTAAATTGTTAATTTTTTATATATTCTAGTATGTGACAATTAGCATCACATAGTTTCATTAGGCATTACTAATAATAAATATATTTTCACATTTATTTTTTATATAACGATTAATGTTATTATATATTTATTATTGTTCAGAGTTCTTTATTTTAATATTTGACAAATCTCAGATAGAATGATATATATGATTAAGTTTTAGTGACTATAAGTAATTATGCATATAATGACTAAACAAATAAATATATTTTTTTGCTATTTTTTTTATATGATGATAGACATTATTATATATTTATTATTATTACATAATTATTCAAAATTTTTTTTTTTAGATTTATAAACCTATTTAGTTTCATTGTTTGGAAGTAATGAATATTTTAAAATTTTTAAACATAGAAAATGATCTGAATAATACAGTCAAGAATATTTCCATATATGGTATTTCCAAATATAGAAATGATCTGCAATATACAATGCTATTTGGATTTTCTAGAATTAAAAAATTAACCTAAATCTGATTGGCTAAAATTTTTTTATAAATGCGAAAAGCAAATACAAAACTTAAAATTTTTATAATAGCTATAACAGCTTAATTAATTAATAATTTGCAAATTACTATAGTTTAACTAGTATAGTTTATATGAATTGCTGATGAACATTTTGTATAAACATAAGAATGAAAAAAATATCAAAAAGTTAAGTATCGATCTTAATGCTATAATGCCTTGTATTTAACAATTTTTCTAAAGCCAGATCAATGTAAATTATTTTCTATTTTCTCTTTATCGTTTTTTTCCTTTCTTTTTAGAAATCATTTTGGAAAGTATAAGTTTATAGGCTATTTCTAAAAATTTAGCTACAGAACATTTCAAAAAAAAAAAACTTCAAAAAATTTTTTTTTAATTCTATTCAAATCTCTTTCAGAAATGAGAGGCAGTAATGTAAAAACTAGTCTGATCAAGTTTGAATAGCATCAAGTGATCCTTGCCAAAAAAAAAACCCATTGTAAATATAGTTGTACTTGGGTTATATCTTACTGTTATGCCTTTGTTGTGCTTAAAGTTAGCATTTGCTTAAAGTTGTAACTTTAAGCACCTGAAGTTGTAACTTCAAGCACCTAAAGTTAAAACTGTCCAAAATTACTAACACAGGCAAGAAGAGTCTAATTTCAGAGGTAGTTAGTGCACCTAAATTGGTAACTTCAAGCAGATGTCAACTTCAAACATGACAGTCATACATCTAATGTTATGGGGCTACAAAAAAAAAAATATTATTAAAAACTTTGGAATGTAGAAATTTCATCAAAATGAAGACAATTTACAAACATGCTATCAAGCAATTCTGAAACCTGAAAAAATAAAGTATTATTTGAGTTTTAATTTGCTAAAAGTATAGTTAATATAATCTTGATTTATTAAAATTAATATTTATTTATTTTTATTTTCTAGCTCTGTCTCATTTTCAAAATCATTATAATTCTTATATAGGTTCATCTCATTTTCAAGATCATCTTGATTTTTGTGTAGGTCTCTAATATTTTGTAAGATTTCTTGCAATTGGCTATGAGATTTTTGTTGCAAACCACAATACTTCAGATGATCAAAAAGATTGATGCAATTGAGTAATGAATCAATGATCACTAAAAGCTCCTTTTTTATCATATTTTCTTTATTCAGAGCTGCTGCTTCTTCATAAGCAGTAATAGGTATGAGCTGGAGTAATGAATTTGGCTTATTGTTTTTAAAAATCTTATTAATGAACATGATTTGTCCTTCACATGCCAAATTGCTAAAATTTTTTAACTGTTCACTAAGTAGATGCTCCTTTCCAAGGCTTTTAAAAATGTAATTGTTATTTTGTAGATTTAAAAATCTAGTTTTACACAAGTAAACTCGGAATCGTTGTGATTTTAACATATAGTCTGGACATGACTGACAATCTAACAACTCATTATTTGTATGCCTAATCATATTAAATAATATGTGATGCAGCTAAATTTTATGTTAAAAATGTATAAATATAAGTTATATATTTTGTTACAATACAGATAAATATATTTTTTACTAACCTTTATGAACTTGGTACAATTATATGCTGCTATTCTCCAATGCTTCTGTGAAGGTACAGGTGGAATTAAGGCCTTTAAAGACTTATTAACTTCTTCAAGAATAGCATCAAGTTCTTGATGCTGATTGTAATATCCCAATCATGAAATAACTAAATATAATTCTATACATTGTTTAATTTTAGAATTTAATCGCATTGATTGTTCTTTATAGGGTATTTCATATAAATAATACATGGGATGTCTACGACTGGACCAAATTGAAGCAAACATACGTCGAGCAGCACTTGTCAACAATAATCAATTATTTCTAACACCTATATGAAAATTAATAATTGCTTGCAGATAGGTAAATGTTTATAATAATTGTTAGTAAATTTTTTTGGATATATTTAATATCTTATAAAAAAAATCTCAAAATCTTACTTGCTCAAATTTTAATTTATATATATGATCATTTTGTTTTTTGGCCCAATTTAGATAGTCATCAACTGAGGAATTTTCTGTTGTAGTTATGTATAGCCATAGTAATTCACATATAATAGCATATTAGTAAATATTGCAAATAGAGTCCCATGATTTGTAATAATTAGCACATTTTTTAAAAAAACTGAGTTAGTTTTCAGTTCTAAATTCTTGGAGAATAGCAAATTGTTTTATGTCAGTCATTCTTAAAAAAAGTAAATTAAAATTTTGGATCAAATAGTATTATTTGTATTAATTTAATTATGAAAAATATTAATATCAGTTTAATTCTACAAATGCTCTAAGCATGTTCATTTCTTCATGCAAGGGCCCAGAAATTAATATAAGCCATGAAAAGTCTTTTCAAATCTTTTGAGCTAGAGTATAAAGAACATCATCACAAGTAACAAATAACTATTTTTGCACTTCATTTATTTCCATAATATTTTTTATATACTCTAAAACTTTTCTAACATTAACAATTAAATTAGTATTAAATTCTAATGGATCTGGCACATACATTTTGGAAACAATAATGCTATATTCAGGATCTGAATGTTGTGTAATACTAATATAATTAAGTTGTCAGCTTTTTTGTTCTTGAGCATATGCATAAGACTTTATTATGAGAGGTTTTGAGTAGATTGAATTATTAACTTGAATATTTTCATTAGCAGACTCTGCTTGTAAAGCAGCCAACATGTCTAATTTTTTATTACATTAAGGACAGTTCATTTTTTATTATCTATATTAGTTGTATTGCATTTTTTGCACTACTTCAATTGACTTCCAACACTTTTTTGATTTTTTATAGCTATATGATTTTCTTATTTTTTTCAATAATAAGCTCTTCTAGAATTGATGATAAGTATATTTTTAATTCTAGATCATGCTCTGCTTGCATTTTGGATAAAATATAATATAGTTTTTCATACTGGTCATCAGATATTAAATCACAAATTCATAGTGCAATTGTAAATTAAGCATAATCATTTTTAATCATATTCAGTGCAATAAAACTTGTAACTGTATGATAGATAACTATATTATGCCCACAATTGAAATAATTAAATTAACTGCATTGCTCATTGTCGAAGACTAAAAACAAAAGTCCTTTAGATAAGGACTCATTTTTGACTGCTAATGATTCCAACTAATTAATAAATTTTATATAACTTTCAGAACTAATTATATAGTTATCAATGTCAATAATTGTCTTAGATCATGCTAGTAAATATTTGATCTATGTTATGGCTAGATTTATTTCTGATACATAGTTTTTATGTCTCGATCCATATATAGCATTAATAGCAACCATTTTTTTAAAAATTTTTTCATTTGAAGAATAATTATTACAACTATTATTATTATTATGTGTAAGAACATTAATAAAATTAACAATTACTAGGTTGTGATTAGCTAACCTATTATTGTAAACAAAATTTAATAAATTATTAAGAGAAAATCATTGTTTATTTAAAATTAATGATTCAATATCATCATAAACACTTTGGCATTCTTGGTTCATGATTTGAATAATAGAATCAATTCTTTTTTTTTGACTATTATACCGATTTTCTCATTCAGATTTTAATATATTATTTTGTTCAGTTAGTTTTTTTATTTACTTTATTTATTTCTTGGATATAATCCCAACTCTCTACTACATAACCATATGCATATTCTAACTGTTTTTTAAGATCTTTTATTTCATTTATTTTCAAATCTAGCTCTAATTGAAGTAAGCAAACAAGATTTTCAAGAGTATTTAACATAGTATCAAATGCTTGGACACTGATCTTGTAGGTCTTTTTATTAACTTGTATACCAACCTCATTAGTTTGTGCACTAGCTTGTATCCCAATTTCAATATAGTTTTATTATGAGTATACTGCATATGAGTCTGCCTTTTGGCAAATTTATTATCAAAACATTACTATTTTTTTTCGGTTTTGATTATTTCTTGGATAATTGGGCAAATTTAAACTTAAGAGCATTTGATGCAAAAAATCAGATACAATTAATTGGTTATAATGATTTTTACTATAAAGAAAAATCTTCTAAATGTGTTTAAATTTGAACTAATTTTAAAAAAAAATTATTATACAATAGAAGATGATCTTTTGATAAATTACTATCTGCATATTATTTCATCTGTGGGTTCTTAGTTTCACACTCTAATAAACTGATATTATTATATAAAGGAACCAAAATAGCAAGGGCACAAGGTAAATCTTTTACTTATGGTTGTTGGAAAGCTTTTACTAATTAAAAAAAAACAAAATTTGAGGTAAGCATCAACAAATTTTATCAGTATTATTAATTTCTTATTCTATTAATAAAACTTATAATATATTTTAATTTTTATTGCCCTATTTTATTGTTTTATTTATTTATTGTTATATTAATATCTAATTATAATCTTAGCAATTTTTTATTTTATTGCCAAAATTTTTATTCTATTCTAAATTCTATTACACTATTCTATTGTTTTACTGTTCTATCTATCTATTGCTACTAACATTGATTTTGATATAACAAAGATAGTAAAATAAATAAATTATTATATACTAGTCTGAATTATGTAATGTTCAAAAATTTGTATAATGATGGTGAAAAAGGATCATATTCTGAAGTTGATATAGTAAATTACAATACTAGTGATTATTAAAGTATATGTAATATCTAAACAATTATAATTAGCATTAATAATAGTATATCTTTCATGTGAAATAAATAAAGTACTTATGTATAGTTTTTTTTCAATGTTAAAAATTCCTAATGGATCACTAGACTAGATTGGATGAAGTTCACAATAGAGCACCAAAATACTGAAGCACCAAAATATCAATGTTGATTATAATATTAAAAGTGGAAGCACTGGGCCAACAACACAATGTAAAAACTAGTGCTAGGTGCTAACTCCCAAATGTATTTATGAATAAAAAAGAAAAAAAGAGTTTAATAATTTAAGAAAAACTTATGTTTTGCTATAGTTATAAACTTTTAACCTGAATTAATTTTGAAGAAACATCGACTGATTATAAAACTATTTAAGTTAAACCTCCTAATTTTATAAGGCTTCATTATGTTACAAAACAATTTTGCATAAATTTATCATATGAAACCTGTGAAAATGTTTAAAAATTCAATAAGAATAGATGATCAATTTTCTAGATCATCATTTTTGTGTAACTAATCATATTTTAGAATGATCTGCAATATATATACTGAATATAAAAATATTCCTGACTGTAATAACTCATTTATCCCTTATTCTGCTAACCCAACCTTCTTATCTAATACACCTAATATCACTGGACATCATATAATTAACACAACCTGCTCTCGTTCTAATACACCTAACATTGCTGCACCTTATCAACCATCTCAACCATCTTATAAAACTTGTAATGAATCTGATTCTGATTTATCTATTTTAAGTACACAAACTATTTATTCTACTATGGGTAGAGGTAGACAATGCCACCAAATGCAACAAACCCAACCAACCCAATCAAGACAATCTACCTTCAGGCAACTATCTCTATTATAACAAATCCAACCAACCTAATCAAGACAATCCATCTCTAGGCAATCATCTCTATCTCAACCTACCTCTTAACCTAGATCTGTTTTGCTACAGCAAACTCAGGGAAGATCATTATCACCTGATTGATGATCTTCCAATCAGAATCAAATATGCAATCATAATGATCATAAAGCTATAAAAATATATTTTTTTTTTAACTTTAGATGTTGATCTTAGGATTATAATCTTTTTTTTTTGTTTTTTAGCTCGTTTACACTGCTATTGTTATGAAAAAAAAGACTAGGAATGTTTATTTATCAAAACTGCCAACTGTATCTTTTAATCAAGAAGTTAAGCAATGATCTTCAAGATTTTAGAAGAGAAATGAAAGATCAAGAGAATGTTCAAAGTGTTTCAAATTCTGATCTTTTAGCAAAAGTGCAGAATATAAGTATTATAAAAAAAATATATAGATATATTTAGAATATATATTGAGTGTTTTTTACATTTTTGCAAGACATGTACATTAGTGTTGCTAAATGCTTTTTCTCACAATTGATCTATCCTACTCAAGATGAACTTAAGAAGTTCCTAAAGGACTACCTTAATAAAAGGTTTCCTGATTTTATAGCCACCTTAAGTGTTTATAAGTTTACTAACTGTTTTCATAGTGAGTGATGCAATCAAGTAAGTAATATTGTTTGTATTTATTATCTTTTATTTTTATGATATATGAACTTTAATGATACACTATCTTTTCAATAGCTTTAACAAAAAATGAAAAACCATTATAGTTCAATGCTGCAGAATGTTTATTTAGCAGTTTGAAATATATTCAGTCATGAAAGACTCTCTTTTCTGAAAAGTAATACTGCTGCTGCAGCTATAGTTGTATGGAAGCAAAGTAG